AACTTACCTTAGTATTTTAGATTTTGCTTATGAAAGGTCAGTTAATATAAAATATGTTTATTACTTTTACTTAAACATACTGGATTTAAGTAACTTTCATTTTATGTTGGGTTGGAGTGTCATTGCTAATTAGAATTAGTATTACATTAAGCATAGGAATATAATGTCTGGCTTTTAGTCAAGATTAGAATTGTGATGTTAAAATTATAAAAGTGAAAGAATATGATACAACTTTAAAATACATATCTGTAATAATGACACTAATAAATGGTAGCTGCTCCAGTTTATTGAGCACACAAAATTTGTTTTAAATATTTTGTATTCATTAGCTCAGTATTCCTAACAACATAAGAAATCAGTATTATTACCACTGCTTTACAGATGAAAAAACTGAGAGCTCAATGATATTAAGTAACTTGTGTCAGAGCAGATATATGGCAAGGATAATATTGACACCATGATCTACCCAGCTACCAAGTTAACGATTATTCTATTGAGCTGCATTGCTCTATCTTATAGCTTAGAAATATTGCTAAACACTGCACAACATTGTTGTAATATAATAAAAGAAAGTCCCCAATATCATGTTTTCTTAATGGCAAATCTCAATAAAACGACTACAGGATGATGGTTGGTGAGCTCAATTATATGAAAAGCCTGCAGGAACCTAACCAAGCTGGATGATATACAGAAACTCAGCAATTTCAATTTAAAAGTTGTGGAAAAGATTACTACAAAAAGAGGAGGCAGGGACTATCAGGTTGACAATAAAAGCATATATTATAAGGGGCTTGTGCTGGAAGCATCATTAGGTGTGCCCCAACTCTTACGTGAGACTTCAGATTTCTAACTGGCAAGTTTCTAGTTCTAAACTAAGAAATCTCAGCCCACCTAGTTGCAACATCTGGTCCCCTAACTTGCAACCTTAATAAGGCATAGAAATAATAAGACAAACCAAATTCAAATGACTAATAATTGTGTATTATATCTATATAATAAAAGCCTAAGTAAGTGACCATTACCGTGGAACGACCAGAATGACCGGTTGCTATGATGTGCAATGACCACCAGGGGGCAGACGCTCAATGAAGGAGCTGCCCCCTGGTATTCAGTGTGCTCCCACAGGGGGAGCACCACTCAGACAGAAGCCAGGCTCACAGCTGGCAAGCACAGCAGAGGTGGCATGAGCCTCTCCCGCCTCCACTGCAGGTGGGCAGAAGGAGCAAGGGGTCCTGGAAGAGAGGGCGCAGGCCAGGCTGAGGGACCCCCCAAATGCACAAATTTCGTGCAATGGGCCTGCAGTGTAGGAATATTTCATGATCATAATTTGTGGTTAATTTAAGTGATAACATAGTCTCATAGGTTAGAGAATTATGTTAGTTCTAAAATTTTTAGTTTGAAATTTTAGATTGATATTAGATGTGTGGTTTTATTTGTAAGTTAAAAGAGGATTTCATTAGTTTGAGGACAGTACTTATGAGCAAGTTCAAGTGCTAGTTAGGTGTGTATAACTGTACAGTGGATGTGTATGAGAGAATCAGATATATTAAATTTGTAAATGATATTTAATGGTTACAAGGATAGCCCAGCTGCATGGCTTAGTGGTTGAGCATCAACCTATGAACCAGGAGGGTGAGGTTCAATTCCCTTTCAGAACACATGCCCACGTTGTGGGCTCAATCCCCACTGTGGGGCATGCCAGAGGCAGCTGATCAATGATTCTCTCTCATCATTGATGTTTCTATCTCTCTCTCCTTTCCCTTCCTCTCTGAAATCAATAAAAATATATTTGTAGGTTACAAGGATATTTAATTTCCTAAGTGTATGAATTAAATTGTTTAGGGAAATTTAATCTGCTAACTTTATAAACCAATTAAGTAATAATCATAGAACAAACGAAGTGATCTTTCTTACATCATGTAAAATTACCAAATTCACAAATAATAATTAGATTTTTATAGGTTGAGCTAAAGAGTTAAGAAAATACTATCTTTACCTATAACTTTATTTAAATTCAAGTCTTCAGAAAATTTTAATCAACAACACTGAAAACATGACTGTTTCTCCCACTGAATAATACAATCTTAAAAATATTAGCCTGCTAGCCTGAACCCAAACCCAAGCATGACCCACATAATGCTAGGTCTTTTATCTAACTGGCCATTCTAGTCTCCTGAAGTTGCTGAAATTTCTTCATAATTAACCATTATACTAACACTGTGGCCTGGGACAAATGGCTGACAGGTTACCTAAAAGTTTGCAGTTTCCCTGGCGAAGGACAGTGCAGCTACTCTATCTAGTGTTGGGCTGATGGCAGTAGCATTTAGATTAGTTTAAACAACAAAGCTGTTACAGTATCCTTCCATCCCCTGACAAGTTCTTCAAGTAATCTGCCAACAACACGTTATGAGCTATAACTGTTTTTACTAAGCATACCATTCAATAAGTAAATACTTTTAGTATGTGATAGAGAATTATTACATTGGCTTAAAGAAGCAATTAACTCAAGAATCACATATGTAAAATATGAATGTTTTTAGAATTTTGGTTGAAATGCCCAATTCCTTTCCCACCTCTGTACTCACTCCACTGAACCAATTTGAAACCATTAATTGTTACACAAACTTAGACCCTACATTTCATGATTTTATTACAATTTTGGTTCCTTAAATTTTTGTCATAATCATGCCTGTTTGAGATACACTAAAAGTTGATGTCTACAACACTTGGGATAGAAAATAGAGCTGATCAAGAAAGGACGGCATTCCATAACAAAATATAGGTGAAAGGTATTTCATTTTAATTAATAAATATGGTTTACCTGTGAGCCTGTGGAGTAGCGTCCAGGAGTTCGAGAACCAGATGTTTTCCCTGAGCCAATGGAACTCTCTGTACTTTTGCCACTACAACAATGTGTCCGCAGGCATTTCCCGTACTCTTTTCGTACCTAGCCAATTAAACAGTAACCTCTATTAGTAAGTCATTCATTTCAGCTAGGAACTATGGTATAAAATATATGAGTATTATTTTTAGATAACATCATTATTTCTTTGCCATACAGACACAAGAAAGTCTGTTCAGCATATTTTTACAATATAAAATAATGATATTCATACCACTTAACTTGAAATTTTGCTTAGAGACTTTCAAAACAGATACTTCCAATCACACCATAACAATATACCTCTTAGATCAAAGAACCAAAATGTAAGACTCGTCTAGATGGTATTTTAGGCTCATAAATTTGATATGAAGTACCCTATTGGTGCAACTGGCTTTACCCAAAAGTCTAGCAAGGAACTATTATAGAGAGAAGTGGGGACAGAGAAAGGGAGGGAGAGAGTGAGAGAAAGAGAGCAGAGAGAGAAAGTGTTTAAAGACAGCAAAAAGGAATGCATTAGGCTTAAGCATTTTTAAAATTTTTAAAAAATGAGTTCAAAGAGAGGCAGAGAAAGGGAGAGAGGGGTAGAAACATCAATGATGAGAGGGAATCATTGACTGGCTTCTTCCTGCACACCCCCTACTAGGGATCAAGCCTGAATTCCAGGCATGTGTCCTGACCAGGAATGGAACCCTCATGGGCCCACGTTCAACCACTGAGCCCTACTGGCCGGGCAAGCATTTCTTTTAGATGTACTATATTTCTTTGGAGTTTATTTCTCCTAAAAGATCAAATTTGCAACTTCAGAATATAAGATTCAAAATATTAAAATGTATTTTCTTGAAATAGTTCTATTCAATAATCACAGAGAAATATGGTTGCTTTTCTTTATAGCACAGATGGTTAAATTCTTAATCCAGTTATAGTATAAAACACAGGAAAAAAAGGAGAAAATATTTTTAAATGGATGTTTTCAAACAGTAAACTATTATATCAATTATTTGGGGGGAAAATTTTATCATGTTAAAAATTTTTATTATTGCTTATTTAATCAAACATAACACACAAAAATTAACAACCAACATCAACAAAAATAATCCCAACCATGTGTCCATTAACTAAAACACATTCTGGGACATGTTATTGGTTGGCTATACATCCACAAATTTATATTCATTACGAAGTAACACGGTACATACGTTCTTCTTAGCTCTTTATATACTGACTTCACATGAGTTCATCTTTCCACAACTTGTGACAACGTAATATTCCAATCTAATTTTATTTCAAAGTAATTATAAATATATACTTTTTGAAGACTGTTATTTATAATAAAAAAAGAAAGTGAATGATATATTAAAATTAATCATAAAAAATAAAACATGATACCTTAATATTCTAAAGTTTTATTCTAGCACAGATTTAG